AACTGGTTCAATGACAAATCGATCTGCTCCGTTGTTCCCTTCGCTTTAAACACCATGGACGCGTCTCCTACCAGCTTGTTATTGGATAGAATTATCGCCTTGGAGTTCATTTCGCCCAACGACTTCGGTATCTTACCTGAAAGCTGGTTATGGGAGAGGTCGAACCAAGTAAGATTGCTCTTGAGTTTTCCCAGAGAGTCTGGTATTTTTCCGGTGAGGTTGTTCCGGTTGAGGTAAAGGTTTTCTAGTTTTGGAAGATCACCGAGGGAAGCCGGGATTGGACCAGAGAAWTGGTTGTAACCCAAATCGAGGTAGCCCAGGTTCTTGAGTTGGCCGAGGAATTCAGGGATGGGGCCGGAGAATGGAGTCCAGTTGAGACGAAACAATTTGAGGTTCCAAAGTTTGGTGATGGAGTAGGGGATGGAACCGTTGAGCTGGGTGACTTCATCAAAGGAGAGGGTTTCGAGATAGGGAAGGTCACCTATGGCGGATGGAATTTGGCCGGGGATGTAGGCTTGGAAGAAGGCGAGTTGGGTAACTCGGTAGGTTCGAGGGTTGCAGACGATGTAGTCCCAATCACAGCAATCGATTTCGGGATCCCAAGAGAGAAGGGCGTTGGGATTGTTTATAGATTTCTTGATTCTCAGAAGGACCTTTTTATCATGCGGATTGCAACGAACAGAAGAGGAGAGGGTGAGAGATGGGAGAGAAGCTGAAACAAGGAGGAGAGAGAGATGGAAAAGTGAGAGTACTGAACGGGTGTTGCTGCAGAGAGACTTCATCTTCAAAACTTGATGATGATTCAAAACCAGAAATGACAACAAAAAGTGAAAGATAGTTTGAATTTATAGAATGCATGCATATTGGTGCATGTGCATCTTGTATGGAAAATTACGCTACTGATTAAAGAAAATGGAATATGGTTTCCCTTGGTTTCTCTGTCTGTGTGCTTTATGTCAAACACAAGATTATAAAAATCCATGGCTTGTTCTCCTGTATTTTGAGTGCAAACTAATTTCTTTGGGTTCATCGTGCAAATGAGATGGGGTTTGGCTACGCTGGCACTACAACAGAACAGAACATTGATTAATTGTTACAATAAAATGAACATAAAACAATATTTGCTTTCCCTAGCATTAATCCATCTTCAAATATAAAAGTATATATGAAAAAAAATACAGGGTAAATCTCTCAAATCAGAGAAAGTAATTTTTCTTTGAAATTGATATTTGTTTGAAAAATTTTTAGACCAAATCAAATATTTTTTAGTATAGAAATCAAATCACATCAAACCATTGTATTACGCTTGGGTCCAGGGGCCATTCTATTAGGCTTAACCCAATTAATTTGAAAGCCCAAATAACATGATGCATACCTGAATAAATAACAAATATAATTTAAATGCCATATTGAAATGTTAACAAGTGCATATACCATATATTACTATTATATAAATTAATTATATTCACACTCTCAAATATAAATTAAAAATTGAAACAAGCAACAACAATTTATGAAATGATAAATTAATAAATACATACATATGTTTAGACCAATGTTTTAAAAACCAACCTGGAGGCTTAACCGTTTTTGCCTCCAGGTCATGCTTCACCATATATATTTGTGTGTATAGGTAGGTATAAATATGTATTTTATCAATAAATAATGTATACCTATGTTTTGCATATAATATATATCTTATTTTCATCTAATTTATCTTTTCTAATTCTGTTTTAAATTTTTTATCTGTAAAAAAATAGAAAAAATTGCAATTAAAGGCCAAAAAGTGTTTCTTTTAATAAAAATAGCGGAACACAATGCTTTGCAACACACATATATCTCGAAAAGTTACCCAAAATATATAAAAAAAAAGAATCACCTCAATTAGACATCGGAGTGCAAAGTTATTGCCTTCGAAGTTTACATACACATTTAGTGTACAACTCGTGACCCAATCACTAGGTCGAATGGATTAATGGTCCAATAGTTTGGGTCGAATTGTTTTTGACCAAGTCAATGTTTTTTGACTATCCTTCGAGTTTTACTAAAATCGGGCATGGAATCTCAACCGAAAGACAATTTGAACATTTTAACCAGCCATATAAATGGCAGGTTGAAAGCACTGGTTTAAACATATGTATTGTATATTATATATATTAATAAACATATTATTAATAATTTGGTTTAATTCAATTTAAGGTTTGGTCTAGTTTTATAAATTAAATAGAAAATTACAGCCTGAAATTTTTCACCCCTAAGGCTGTGTTTGGTTGCAATGCAAATGAATTTATACCGATACAAAATTATGGCAGTGCAAATGGTTTGAGTGTAAATCATGCTCCTTTATTTATTTTAAATTTAATCTTTTGTTGTTTGATTGCAATACAAATAAAGTAAATTAAGACGCGAAGCAATACGGGGCTACATCAAACGATTCAATGAGGCATGCTTACAGATACCGCGGTTAGACCCCGCGATGCAGCTCGCCGCAGCAAAAAAGAGGGGTGACGCACAAGGAATTCAAGTGGCACATGGTAGCTAACCAGCYMGCRACCGTGGCCGAGTTCCTCAAGCTCGCGGACAAGTTCATGAGGACTGAGGAGGAAATCAACCAAAGAACTGAGGGCAGAAACGAGAAAAGAAAGAGGGACGGCGAGCCCTCTAGCTCGGCCGACCGAAAAAACCCGGC